AGAAACCATACCATCCGTCCTTGTCAGTATGTCCCTTGGAAGGCAATGGAACAAAATCATCAACAACCAGACGAGGGTACTGGCTCTGTGTAAATTTGTGATTTCACATTTTCAGCAAAGTGAAAAGTGAATCTCAAAGAACTGATCAAGCAGTAGTATTACAAACCTGATTAAAAGTGTGAATCTCAATATTTGAGTTCGAGTACTTCTCAATAATCTAAGTTGGACAAAAGAGTAGGTTAGTGTACAAGTAAAGTCTAACAAGGAAAAAACATGTATAGCAGGGAAAAAAAGTAAGGATAGAGCACCTTCTGTGTATCATCATGAGTGTTGAATGAGTTCATTAGAAGCAAGGGAACACTGCACCCATATTTCTTATTAAGATTCTGCAGCAATCAAAACATTTAGTTTCATGTAACCAAAATCAAATCAAAGCACAACAGAAATAACAAAAACTAACCTCAATCTGGATGACAATAAGGTCAAGAAATGTCAATCCATTACGAACTTCAATGACAGACCTGCAAAATACAACAACATAAATCAAGCTCATCATCATCTACCTCTCCAAAATATCCGTTCTGCCCCGCAAACAAAAGGGCAGTTCTATTCAACACAGACAACAACAAGCCCACAGTGGGGCCCGTCAATCTGAAAGTTTCCACTTTTTTTCCTTGCAGTGATTTGATCAACAAACTAAAATGCATTGTCCAAATCAAAGCGAATGTTATACATACTTGGGACCAGTGCATCCCATTGTAGTCCCCAAACCTCCATTAAGCTTCAAAACAACAAGCTTGTCCAAAAGCTTCTTTGTTTCATCCGGATCTGCAACAAATTCAAACCACTTTAAGCAATTACCACACAAATTCAGCTCTAAAAAAAATCCAAAATAAACTTGGATCATTATTGATTACCCTCCGGAGTTGGCGCCAAGGTATCATAAGGAACCACTACTTCATCAGTAGGTGTCTGAATCTTACTCCACTCAACTTGCTGCGCTTCCCCACTTTTACCACACAAATTCCCAACAATTAATAACAATAATTCAATAAATTTCAAATCCCAGATCTCATATCATCTAACCAAAAAACAAATCCACCCAGACCCAAAATAAATAAATAAATAAAATTGATCACATTGAACACGCTAATACATCACAATTATCAAAGACAACTCAAAAAAATCTTCTTTTTTTTCATTTTCAAGCAACAAAACAGAACAAAACAAATTTAAAAATAACGGAAGAAAAATGAATGACCTGAGATAGCGAGAAACGAGGTTGACGAATCCAGTTTTCTCACTCTCGCTGCAAGAAAACACGCAATTCAGATTAGAGAATCGAAAAGCGGATCTCTTAATTCATCAATCCATTAAAGAAATGTGATTACCTTGATTATCAACTGAAATGGAGGGAAGAAGAGTACCTGATTTGACTGAGATTAGCAACAGCTGATTTGAGCTGAGAGATCTTGGCTGTGTCAGTAGCCATTGTTGATTGATTTGAGCTTAAGAAGCTACAGGTAAAGGCTTGATTCTATAACTGAAGAGAAATTAAGAATGTTTGAGAGGAAAGGTGATTTGAAGAATGGGAAGGGTGCCTGGATAAATAAGTAGTGATAGTGTTTTTTATAAACCTAAATTAGTCCCTAAAGTTGTACTAATATCTCAATTGAGTCTTTTTTCCCTCCAAGTATTGATTTTTATGTTTCCTTGGAAGTGCAGCCATTTAGTGCATAAATTATGCACATTATAATGGAAAATATTAATACAAACTGTTGAATGACCGATTGAGAGATGTGTTTGTTGCTAGGAATTTATTGGTGATTTTTTATTCTGGGACTCAATTGAAAACAGTTATATAAGTTTAGGGACTGAATTAGGATTCTTTTCAATCATCTTCCCACCAGAACCAAATCGTATGTTTTCGTTTTTGGAGTGAATGAAATGTAAAGCTAATATAAAGATTCTTATTATTCATCAAATAAAAAAAAAATTATGTTCGAAGCAAACCAAACTAAATCCTTATTTAATCTGATTTTCAAGAAAATCATCCATATTTCTTTTAAATTTTAACCGATCAAATTAACTATCTTCAGACTTCACGACAAGCTCTATATATACTCGATATATTCACAAAAAAATATTTTATTTTATTTTTAAGGTATGGTGCATGGAGAGGGCAGAAAACAGAGGTTTTTGGAATATTTTTATTATTAGATAACAAGATTTGGGAGGGAGTGAATGATGACAAGAGTAAGAGACAGGGAAATTTTGTCTGTGGAATTTGGATCAAATAAAATTGTGAGAGGTAAGGAAGGAGTGTGGAGTGGTGCATGATGCATGAAGGAGTGATGGATTTTGGTGGGCAACAGGCGATGGTTTTGGAACAGGCAAGAAATAAGGGTCAATTTGTTCGCAGCTTTGGGGACAACTCCTAAAACTTGATTACCTCCTAAAAATGCAGCTATTGACACACCTCCCATTAACCCAAGGGGAAATGCTAAAATGATTGCAATTTGAGAGGGTTGGCAATGAGTCAACGATGTATCTCACCAAATAAAAATATTAAAATCAGAACTTTGCTCTTCATGAGTCCATGGTACAAGAGCCCAAGAGATAAATTAAAGAGACATTACATTGACTCCCTGAAAGGACAAGTCATTATAAAAAAAAATAAAAAAAATTGATGTTTAACCATCACAGCTATTAAATTCAATCATATTTGGTATGTGGATCCAACTCGGTTGAAACTATAAAAGTAAAAATTTTAAAAAACAAAAAAACAAAACAACATAATGTATAGGAAAGTGCAAAGACAACCTAAGTTCGGTGAAGTTTGGGTTTCAGTTGTTCGATGGGATGTCTTTCTTGCAAGTGAATGACTGCTTTATTAAGAGATCTAAACAGGAGACAATTTCCCTTGTTGCTGTTTGGTGTATACAAATCAAAGCTCAAACCAATTTTCAGAAGGTTGCATGGCAATTTGATCCATGGATTTCACACCAATAACCCTTTGTGAGTCACAAAGAAGAGGAAACCTTCTCGTCTTCTCCGTTTCACTTGTAGGATTGAAGGGTGGAGAATGCTTTTCAGTTTTCAATACTTCTTTTCTCGACATGAACTTGGCCCTGACGATCTACATATATATATACAGGATTTCAAGGCAGGTGTTTTTATTGTTCAGAGGGCTGAAAATAGATCCCTGAGCCGATATATTCTTCGCATCAAGCCTCATTAGGCTGTACAAGTTACATATTTTACAATTTCAGTGATTTTAAAAGTGTAATTTAATTGTTTTTAAAGTATTTTTTATTTAAAATATATTAAAATAATTTTTTATTTTAAAAAAATTATTTTTAATATCATCACATCAAAATAATCTAGAAATATCAAAAGATATTAATTTAAATTAAAAAATATATTTTTTAAATAAGCATAAGTTAATTCCCAAGTAAATTAAAGATAATAAAGAAATTATTTCATTGCAAACCATGTGTCTCCTCTTAAATGTTAAAACATAGAGAATTAAATGCAAAATAATATTTCGAGGGTTTATATTTTATCATTTTGTGTTGTTGGATTTGAAACCTTAATCCACTGTGGGACTAGGCTATGCACAGGCCACTCCTAGTGTCTCGATCGAGTCTCAAGTCTTAACTCTCGAACTTTTTTGTTAGATTTTGTTTTGGGATTTCAGTGTTTCAATATTCAATTAATTAATGTATGTATATAAAAGGCATTTTCAACACTAATTGATATATAAATAAATGCTCGTTGATTAATGGATTCATAAATCTCGTTGAATTACCCTAACGATACGGATGATGTACTTATAATCGTTTACAAAAACACTTAGTCTATTCTTTGAATATCTTTTATGTTTTAAATGCTTTTATTGTTATAAACAACCTAATTCAAGTTGATTTAAATTAATTTAACATTATTTTATTTCAAGATTTATTTTAAAAAATTTAAATAGCTAAAATAATTTTTTTTTAAAATAAATTGAATTTTAATTAGATCAATTACATTAATTATAAGTTGATCTTTTTAATTAAGCTTAGAACATGGGTCAAATAAATCAAATTTAAGGTAACTTGCTAAACCAAACTATTCTGGTCTTGATTTATCGACACCTCCTTTTTTTTTTTTGATTTATGTGGGGTGTCCGGGCCAGCTTATGCGCACCACGACTAATCCACACGACTCACTGAACATCCTGCAAGCCCAGTGAGCAGGTAAGGCACCGCGGGAATGACAGGCGTATATGATGAGGTTCGAACCCAGGTACGGAGGAAAAGGACACCCCTTTGCTTGGTTGGTTGGTTGGTTGGTGGTGTGCGTGGGTCATGTTTGGTCAACATCATGAATTTGTGGCTTACAATGTTATCTCTTTGCTGTGATTGTCAAATTTTCAATTCCCCCTTTATCGAATCTTGACTTCCTTTTCTTATTTGGTATTATTATTATTGATTTCTTTTCTATATAAAATGAGCATCTTGATATCAATGTTTTGACTTTATTAACTACATATTAATTAGTTGCTCACATCTTATTTTAAAATCCTACAACTTCTTTTCATAGTTGGTATATTTCATGATCATATTAAGTTATTGAATTGTAAGATTAACTTGTATCAATTATTTTTTATTAAAATAATATCATTTTATTTTAAAAAAATGGTTTAACTCAATACAATTAATTTGATTATTAAAAACATAACCAAATTAATAAATATTATTTGATCACTATAATTTCTGAATTAACTTAAAAACTAGCTTGGATCAGATTAGGAATTATAATTTTTTTTAGAATTAAACTATTTAACAAGACTATATTTTTTTTTCTGTTCTTTTTTCTATAAGGAAAAAAACGTCAATGCCAAATATTTACGTGTGTGTGTCACAGGAGCCCAAGATTGCATTGAGTTAGAACTAAAAAGACCACACCATCATGTGTAATGGTAAAGTTAAAATATTGTTTTAAAAAAGTTTAAAAATTAAGAAAAAATGGAGATCGATGTGGTTTAACAAGGAAAAAGAAAACGAAACATTTGCTTTTATCATTGTATATATCTTCTTCTCCCCCCACCTCATTTTCTTCTTCGTGTTATCCTTTTTTTTGTTTAACAGGAACATGTATTGTCATCAAGGCTGATGGCCACAGGAGTTTAGAATCTCCTAGGTCAATGTGACACCTCAAAGGCAGATATCAAGATGCATCATGCTAGTCTCTTCCAAGCTCTTCTACAAGCATGGATTTTGAGCTTTTTCATGTTTGATAGAGATTGTTTTCTAAAATTTTTTTAGTTCGGTGATATATTAATATAATATTTTTTTATTTTTAGCATTAAAATATTATAACTATAAAAAAATATTAATTTAAAATTAAAAAAATTCACTGTTTTTTTCAGAACTATGGTTAGAATTAATGACTTTGTGCTAGTTAGGAGTAGAAGTAGTTGAAACCCCTTGAAGTTTTGAATTTTACTTAACCATGATCTCTTTTATTTTTCATAACTATATAAAAATAAAGTGAAGAAGAGTGTAAAAATTCAGAAAAAGACTTGTTGGAAACTCTTTCTTCATCTCCCATTTTTTATAATGAATTTTGAAAGATAACATATTAAATATTTAATTCTAATTTTTAATAATAATCAAAACTGATTTTCATCATTATCAATCTTTAATTAATCACCATAAATCAAGCTTTAAATACGAATATAGTAGTCATAAATCTAATATTTTTTAGTTGAAAATGCTGTTAAGATTTAAAGAAAATACTTATGAAAAAAAACTATTAATATTCATGTATTAAATTAAACAAAATAATGGGTTAAAAAATAGTTCTTTATGATTCAACACACATGAAAATTTTATATTTTAAATTTTAAAATGTAAATAAACTCTACTCTACTCTACTCAACTACAACTCAATTATAAAAAGATTAGATTTAATTTTTGTGTACGAAAACAAATAGTTAAACTGTCGAACTATTTAATAATTTACTTTCATTTGAAAATAATTAATTAATAGGCTAATCTTTTTTCTCATACTGAAATGTGATTTTTTCCGATTGAATATAGTACATCTATGACAAAAACAATAAAAATAAATTGCAAACCAAAATAGTAGCATAAAAGGCAAGCTCACTAAATACAAGATAAACACTTTAATAATTAATTCATAAAAAAACACCACTCAATAATTCAGTAATGTTGTCACACTATCCCATTCTATGCACAAGTGTATATGTATGTATGTATGTATGGATGTATGTATGTATGACGTAGAGAGAATAAAATTATTATCATACTTGTAATTATAGATAGATGGACACCAAACGTTATCTTTCTCCTTTTTTTGTAATGGTAAAGATACTTCGATGTGATGTAGTTGTGCCATCATAAACATTTGTAAAAGCAAAAGGAGGTGTCCATTTAGATTTTCAGTGTCGGCCACCTCTTTCATATAAAAATGATATGGGATCTCCCTTTACAAGGAAATTGTACCAAAATTATTAGAGAATTATAGTTTTCAAATCCTAATTGGACAGGTCTCGAATTATAGCTTGACAGCGTTAACTTA